AAATTGAATGAACATGGTCTGGATAGCCCACAGACGTACCATAAAAATTTCTAGGACCCATGATTGGTCTCCTTTAAAACGTGGCACCGCATGCTAAGTGGCGTTGCAGCTGCTGCAGGAGTCGATGCAGAACATATGGAATCGTGTATTCTGTTAAGTTTAAGACCCAGAAACAGAACTCAACAATCAGCAGCGTGTCACTTTCACCRGCACGTCGACTCAAACAAACAAAAGCCAGTGACTGACAGACGCTGACCTCTCCGTCCTGCTTGTCAACACAACAAAGACTCGAGTGGTGCGTTCGCAGCCAGCTGCTGCAGAGCGAGCCGTCCTGCAGCAAATTACTGTAAAGAAAAGAAAAGAAAAAATCAGGTTAGAAAAYGAGAGCGGACAAGAGGAGAGCAGCAGCTTGTTCTAATATTAGCCGTGCTATTGTTGCAGCGAMGCTTTTAGATATAGCTCAGGCCGGGTGACGTTTTGTTGCACGGCTCAGACCCACAGCTGCRTTAGGATCACTCACCATCTGCTGATGGGTTCAGAAATATCAAGATTTAATCAGTGCATTCAAGATGGCTGCCATGAAAAAACACAAAAATGTCTCAAYTGACAAATCATTTTCTCAATCGTTTTCTTTGTGYTCAGTTTGTTTCCTGTGCTTGCCTACTGTAACAGAATCTTTCCTCACTGATGCTCCTCTGTCCTGCCAYGCCCACCTTCACCTGTTTCCTGTTACCATTAAGCCACCTGTCTCCAATCAGTTCATCAGCTTCAGTCCACTAAAGGAGACAAATCATGCAAAATCMTTTCTGACAGAACTTCRAAATAAGGTCTGGRCTTACCAACTGCAGTTTGGTGGTCTTCATTCTCCTCTGGTTCTGGGTCAGACTTTGGCTCCAACATGTAAGGCTGGATGGACAAGTCTTCCCTTATGTCTTTTTATTATTTTGTAAATAAAAAAATTCTGTACAGCTAGTGGTAAACCTCCTCTATTAAAACTGAATTAACCAGTTTGGAAAATGGAGGGGTCTGGGGTGTGAAGTGCCTTGTTTGAGTTTAAAGAGACAGCCTCAAAACTAGTTGATCTGAGACACACCCCAGAAAAGMGGCGGGGCTTGTGGAGTCACATTAAGGAGGAATTCAAACCAAAGCATTGCAGTTTTACTTTATGTAGACCAAGAAGTGTTTAAAAGCATCATATGTCTCCTTCAATTCTTCTGGTGTTCACCTCACCTGCACTCTGGTTTTCCTCCATGTCTTTAAGTTTTTATTTTTTATTTTTGCTGCCACACCAGCCTTTGTTTTTAACAGTTTTTAAATCTTTAAGTTTCTGTATTCTTGGGTCCATCTCACCTCAAAACATTTATGCATCTCGCACACCGTTACTTTCAAGATTTGACCAAAATGGCTACAATTTCTTTATTTTTTAGGATATAATGATTCTTTTATAAACATTCCTTCAAGGAATAATTCAATAAAAGTTGTGTGCATGACAGCATTAATGCCTAATTTCTTGTAAGATGTCGTTTAGCTCAGTGTTTCCCAACGTTGAGGTCGGGACCCAAAGTGGGGTCCCGAAACATCAAGATGGGGTCCTGAAAATCCATCCATCCATCCATCCATCCATTTTCTGTACACGCTTCTTCCTTTTCAGGGTTGCATGGGTCACTGGTGCCCATATCCAGCAGTCACAGTGCGAGGGGCGGGGTACACCCTAGACAGGTCGCAAGTCCATCACAGGGCCACACATAGAGACAAACGAGACAAACAACCATTCAATCTCTCACTCACACCTAGGGACAAT